GGACCAACTAAATGATCGCCAAAAATACCAGCCCAAAAATTTAATTATTGTGGCTGCTGTGTATGAACCTCATGATAAATTCTGGGATTAGAATCGGACCAATATCGGCAGTTATGACGATTTACTACGGCATTTAAGAAAAAGGAACATTCGTCGGAAAAGCAAGTGTTGAATAGAAAATGTTCATCGTTTATAATCCGTTAACTCATATCTTCACAAAATTGTAATCGCCGATCAAAATCGTCTTCATTAAGTTCTTTTACCAGGTGAATTTTATACGGATGAAAACTACGGACCTTTAGAATTCGTTGGACAGTATGTCGACTAGCACAACACACAATCTCCAATTTGCTGGTACTTAACGTAGGATCTACATAAACTTGCTCTAAAATCCCACTTCTATTGCTTCGTTCCTTATGGGATTTTCAATGTTGCGTTTTTTATTGGCGACTGACCCAGTTTCCCGAAATTTTGCTACAAGTTCTAGAACATATTTTCGATGCACGTTACTGTTCTCATGTCGCTCATTAAATATTTCTTCTGTTCTATTAGCGCACTGATTATTTCCGAAAAATATTTCGATAATTTCAACTGTCTCTGCTGTGCCGTGGTTAATTTATCTAATAACGCGTTACAAGTTATTTTAGCAACAAAGTTTGGTCAAATCAATCGCAAATTATGTACTAAATTCCTATGTGAAATAAGTACGAGATATTTCCTTATCTTTCTTCAAGACATAACTTTTTTTGTCACAAAAAAACGCTCCAATAGCTATTTTCAACAATAAAATGATAAGCAAACCATGAGCGTAGTGAAGAAAAGCATTTACTTATTAAGTAAACTCTTTTAGTCAATTTTTTTCTGAAAGTAGTACAAACTAATCTGATGTACCTATTAAAGTCTACTTTAAGCTTTAAATCAATAAATCTTCAAAACTACTGAACTGAAGTACATTAATTTTATATTACTATAAAGGGAATTGAAAGACCTTTAAAATAAGGTATCACTCGACCCCACTTTCCATTTAAGATTTTAGGGTTGGTTTCACCCCCGCCCAGGGGGCTGCACGTGTTAATGTGATTTTTTGCCAAACTTGTGTCCCCCTCGAAAACAAAATCGACGGCTCTGAGCGTTTTAAAAAAAATACTGAGCTGCCAGTAAATGCGTCTGTTTCGTTTTGGATGCGCCACCCTGTATATAGGTATATATAAATGCGTCAACTAGAGAAATTGCTGCCGAGTGTCAAATATCAAAAAAGTCCGTGTGGAGAATTTTACGTGAGCATGAATATCGGGCTTAAAAGTATCAATTAGGTACACCAGAATCTTTACGATGCTGATTATGGACGAAGGTTTGAATATTGCAACTGGTTTTTACAAACACACCAAAAGGACAACACTTCTCCTTATAAAATTATTTATACAGTCGCTTTACAAATTTAGGCGTTTTCAACAGAAATAATAAAAGACATTGATCTAAAAAAAATTTGCCATTAATGGAAGAGGGACTTTTCCAAGAACTTTTGGTTTTAATTGTTGGATGGGAATTCTAGGAGACAGGACTAGGCCCCATAAATTTTGAATGGCATTTGACAGGAGAAAGATATTTCCAATTTCTTTCTCATGATATTGAAAATTTCTTGGACGAAATCCCTTTGATAAATATACAGGTAAATGGCATACTTTATTTATTTATTTTATTTTATTTATAGTAATCCATACACTGCTTGAACAGAGTGATCCAATTAACAGGCAGGGAAAAAACAAAAAATAGTCAAAAACAAAGCTCTACACAGTACATGATAAAAAAGACATAAATATAAATTATCCAATTGTTAAAAAACACCTCTTGAGATCGATTTTGGTGGAACTAAAAGTACCAAGTTCACTTACACTGTCACAGATATTACACATAACATAAGGAAGCGAAGATAACAATAAATTTGTCCGCGGAACAGGTAAATAAAATGAATTGTTACCACCATGCCGAGTACGCAAATCGGGATCGCGTAGAGAGACCCTGTCGAGAAGAAAAGAGCAATCAATTGTTCCATTCAACAAATTACATAAACATTTAGCTGCTAACAAATTCATACTTTTGACTAAATTAGGTAAATTATATCTACTTAAGAGAATGTCATTGCGTATACCCCTTTCAGGGTACGCTCTATCATCTTTAAACCATAAGTATTTCACAAAACGACGTTGGATTCTCTCGATATTTTTACAGTGTGTATCATAGGCCGGATACCAGATAATCGAACAGTATTCTAAAAAAAACTAAAACATTAAAAAGTAAAATTAATGTATTAGTATTATTGAAATGTCTACTGCTTCTTATAACAAAAGCAAGATTTTTAAAAGCTTTTACTAAAAAGTTGGTTTATAATACACCGCCAGCGACACGAAATGAGTTGGAAAACAAAGTATCATTGACCTTTAATACAAACAGTATTACACCAGTGCATCTTCGAAATGTAATACGCAACATAATTGAGAGAAATTAACTTTGAAAACAACAACAAACAAACAAAAGTATTAATTCGGTAGAACAATTAAAACATATTTCATGAATTACACTATACAATTTAGCTAGTTAGCAGTGCGTTATTTTGCTGAAGATTGAAAGCTTTGAAAAAATATATTTATTACGTTAATAATAAAATTGTTTTATTAAAAATAACTATTTACGAAGAAAATTCCTTTGTAGCTGTGAAAGTGAGCCACCTTTTTGCGTTCGATAAAAAATGAGGTAACGCTATAGATAAACTAATGAAAAAAATACCATTTTATCGTATTCATGGCACACTGGATTAAATATTACAAATATCTGGAGGTTGGGTGTCAAAAGGCACCAAAGGCAGCGTAGTTGTACGAAGAAAATTCCTTTGTAGCTGTGAAAGTTAGTCACCTTTTTGCGTTCGGTAAAAAATGGGGTAACGCCATAGATAAACTAATGAAAAAAATTATGATTTTATCGAATTCATCGCACACTGGATTAAATATTACAAATATCTGGAAGTTCGGTGTCAAGAGGTAGCAAAGGCAGTGTAGTTGTACGAAGAAAACTCCTTTGTAGCTGTGAAAGTGAGCCACCGTTTTGCGTTCCATAAAAAATGAGGTAACGCCACAGATAAACTAATGAAAAAAACTACCATTTTATCGTATTCATCGCACACTGGATTAAATATTACAAATATCTGGAAGTTCGGTGTCAAGAGGTAGCAAAGGCAGCGTAATTGTGCTAAAAATGTCATTGTCTATTCAAATTAGCAAAAATATACCAGGTGTCCCGCTCAAAATGAAGTCATTTCCGGTTAACCAGGAAGTGATAGTAAACAATTAAATACGTCGTCACATAGTGCACATTTATGTGATATACCTACATATTACTAAATTTCATTTTAGTATGTATAAAAATTATAGGGGTGAGCAATTTGCTAGGGACATCCGGTATAGCCAGTAGCTTTACCAACCTCCACAAAACAAGTCAAAATCAAGTTGAGGCCAAGTTTCCGTCTGGGTGTTTTTGGTGAGAACAGCGCCTAATAAAGTGTCATGTTTATTTCCATAAGACACTTGAATATCGATTGATAAGCTCTTGTTAAACAAACAGTATTGCTCTTCATTTTATCGTTATTTTTTCCTTCCGTAATTCAAAGGGATCGAAGACTAGTGAATGAAATTGTTTCTAGCCGAAGTTCTCGGCAGGCAGCTACTCCGTGCAAAGCCCTTATTCTTGCTGCCGTGTAGGTAGCAGTACACCTGTTCAAAAGCAGTCACTTCCAGTCATTGTTTCTGCTCTCGATCTACTGCTCTAATCCTACAAAATGTTTTCGCAGCCACCTACTGATACACTAGGAAGCATTGTCTTGTTATTGATCGGTAAACTAATGTATACACTGCATATTAATTCGGAAGTCCACATGCGGTGCGGTTAGATCGTGTGTAGAAACATAATCTTATAAGCCGTCTAACCAGCACAAATTAATTTTGGTGGTCTATGGACATCATGGTCATTAAGTGCGATCAATATCGGTTAGGTTACTGTGCATTTTTTATACTTTGACGGCAACCGCAATTTGACTCGGCACGTGCATTTAAATACAAGCGTTCACACCAAAAAGGCGGCACGAGACAAGTTGCTTAAAGTTGCTGGTATTATCTTCGTTACTCGATTTGCAATTGCACTAGTTAATAAAACGTCGCATCCATGAATGTCACTGTTACACTTTAGCTAAGGTTGTGTGCGTGTTTTTGAGACCTTTCGATTGATTCAGTTGAAGTGACGGATTTGAAAATATTCTGAGCTACCGCTGATACAAGAATTGCGACGTGTTTAAAGTGTGTCTTTCTTTGCATGTATACAGGGTGTTTCTGAAGCTTATTTTAACTGCTTGTAGGACGCGTCGAAAGGAGTTGATATACCAAAAATCACCTATATTGAAGTTGCATAATAAATGCAGTAGTAAAAGATTAAAAATTTAAAAAGAATCCTATTTCATAGATATTTTGCTATTCTCGAACAGTGCCGTGTAAGTCTTTAGCGTTTTTTGTTTACTACTCTTATCGTCTATTTAAATTTCGCACACTGCGTTATCGTATAGTTTTCAGTACGAGCCTTTGGCTCGATCAGTTGTATCACTCTTTCATTTGTCTTACTATTTTGTGCAAAAAAATGGCCCATGTTTACGCAAATAATGAACTAGTGGACGTAATACTATCATACGGAGAGGGCAAACTAAATGCAGCCGCAGCATGAAGGTTGTATGCGGAAAGGTTTGTAAATTTAATTATCAGACTTCGTGACACAGGATATTGAAAAGAACAATGAGGAGGTCACGCTGGAAGACGACCCAGTAATGAGTACTAGAACCATAGCAGCTCAAGTTGATGTTTCTCATAGTGCGTGGAAGACAATACGACAATAACAGCACTATCCTTTGACACAATTTTGACAAGCCACATCAGTGATACAAAATTCTAAATACTGAGTGTGCAATGACTCGGAGAAAGAAAAAGGATGAAGATGAGACTGTAAACATTAGCTGCGATTCTATTATGTCAACGCAAGGAACATGTGAGTACTTGAAAAACCAGAATAAATTATTACAACAGGAGTTATTAGAAAAAACGGAAGATTTAGAAAATTGTCAAGCATTACTTTTGGAAAAAGAAACATTAATATACCACCTTTCAAACGAAAACCGAAGATTTCAAGAACAGTATGATCTTATTTCATCAAACATAGTCGATAGGGACTGTATAGTAACACCACTTGAGACACTCCTTAGGAGAATTGAGAAGTTAGAGGAAACAACAAGAAAAAATTCCACATATGCTCAAGCAGTTATAAATTCTCCATCAAAGAGTAAAGAAAGGACACTTAAAAGTCTCATCATTACCCCTGAACAACAACAGTCTAACTACAGAACTACAGAACTAAGAACGAGCTGAGCAGAAATTTGAATTTATCAAAAATAAACATCAAAATGGAAACTGTTTAGAACTCTAAAAATGGTGGTATTGTGAATATGTAGAAGACCGCTACCATAAGAAGCTAAAAGAAGAAATTGGGAAGAATCTGCAATCAACAGATACAATATCCGAACCGAAAATGTTTAATCCTAAAATAAAGATTGTTGGCTACCACTCTGAAGAAAAACTTCAATAACGTGAAATAGAAGAAGACATTATGCGACAAAACGACTTTATAACAAAAGAAAATTTAAAAATCACCTATGTTGGATTCCTTCCCCAAAAAAAGATGAATATAGTTTACGCAGAGGTGTCAGGTAAACTATTCAGACAAATATTTGATAATAATGGAGGGAAAATTTTAATTATTTTTCAAAATTTATTAGTATATCCTAATAATGAGGTAACTCAATGTACAAATTGTTTCAAGTTTAATCACTCTGGTAAGAAATGCAATAGTCATAAAGTATGCTTCAAATGTGGAGAAGAACATGATGATACTTCACGCAACAAATCTACTAATCCCATTTGTTGCAACTGTGTGTATTCAAACAAAAAATATAATAGAAACTATAATACACATCACTCCCCTACAGATAAATGTTGTGCTGTATTTAAATTTTTCCAACAAAGACATGTATCAAGAATTTTATTTTAAATTGCTAAGGAATATTTATGAGTAGATACATTACAGAATTTGGACCTGAAATAATTAAAACAAAGATTTTAGACGATTTACCTACAACAAAGTTATGTTTTTCTAATAATATTGATTCAGGATTGAACATCTTTCACAGGAACATAAGGAGCATTCATAGAAATATGAATGAACTCCATGCTTTGTTGGACATACTAGATTTTAAATTTGATGTTATAGTGCTAACTGAAACAGTTAAAGCATATAATACAAGTTTGATCAAAATTCCCAATTATGATTTATATTGTAACGATGGTAGTTTTAATAAAAATGACGGGGTCCTGATTTACGTAAGACAAAATTTGAACAGTGGTTATGAAATTATTAATATAACTCAAAACTTTTACGAGTTATTCTTCAAAAGAATAATAAATGGATACAGATCATTGGTGTGTACAAATCACCCTGTATATCTGTGACAACATTTAACGGTCAATTACATGATTATCTAGAGAGCAGTAGAAACTTTGACGTCAACTTATTCATTGGAGACCTTAACATTAACATATTAGATCATAACAATCAAAATATTCAAGATTATTTAAATATAATGGCTGAACATGGTTACCTGTCAGCCATTAACGAAATGACAAGAGTAGAGGCAAACAGTGGGAGCTGTATAGACCATATGTTTATAAATTCACGTTTATAACTCGACAAAATATATTCAGCAATTCTAAAATACAAAATTTCTGATCATTTTCCTACTTTGCATAAAATCGATCTTGAAAGTACATCAACCAAAACTGAAAAGACAGTGAATAACACAAAAATTTACATTGATTATGAAAAACTAAATAACAACTTAATCAATGAAAATTGGATTGTAGTATAGAACGAACCTAATATTGAAAATGCATTTGTCCTTTTTATATCTAGCATTGAAGGCCATATTGCTGAATGCACCAAAACAGTAAAGATTCCACGAACACAAATAAAAAGACAAGCATGGATATCAAAAGGGATTATTACCTCCATCAACAAAAAAATGGAATTATATAAGGAAACCAAAAAATATTTTTATGATGTTAAACTTTTGTATGAATTTAAATCATATCGAAAAGGACTGACAAAGACAATTATGCTGAACGCGTCGATCAAGACCTCTTCCCACTTCCTCGCGTATACGGCTGCCTCGTAATTCAAATTTGAAATGTGAACTTTCTCACTTGACACCGGGAATGGACCTAAATAATGTCGTCAAATTTTCCTTTATCCATTCCAGGTGTCCGTAATGTAGAATCTCACTCAAAAGGTAGACTCTCAGTTTGATTCTTGAAGCCGCTTTATTGTATAATTGTTCACTGCGGGCAAAATGACCTAATCATTCAGAATTTTCACGTAACAAGCACTATCAACACTGAGATGTCCATGAAACGATTAATCTTAACAGTGGAGATACTGCCTTAACTAAATTTGTCTTGCACTAGTTGTGTAAGTAAAAGGTATCGACCAGTATCGTGTTGCCGTGGGCGGTGTAAAAATGAGCCATAATTGAAGAAAAGAGAGTAGTGTTCTTATGTTACATAGAAAAGCTGTGAAACTCTTCCAGCCAAGCCCATTCAGCTTCTAAACATGACAGCTGCTACCTAAACAGGATGTTCACTCCCCGGTCGCTAATGGAACGAAAGACAAAATGTGTGAAGTAACCACTGCCGTTTCTGTGTAAAGAAATGCTTTTATAGTACAGCAAGGAAATGCAATCAAAAAGTGCCGAGAATGGTAAGGAGTGATTCATTAGGAGGCATTCAACTTTTGAAGATCATTTTCGGAATTATGTGTTATCAATGTGGTCTATTGAGAAGTTCTAATATTCTATGACGTATTCAAATAGTTTGAGAGGTATGTGGTGACTGGAATCTCGTCATGATAGCACACTATTTGTTTTCTAAAATTCAAGCATATGCTCTTAGAACATTTGTCTGTGTTACCATGGCCCTACTGCTTAGCAAATTTCTCGTCTTTTTACAGACAAATTGGCTACATAGATGATACGCACCAACTACTGCTCGAAATGGTAGGTCGCGTCATCGAAAATTGGAAGTGTATTTCTCATGTTTTCAGAGGGTCACGTGGAGAGTTTCAGAGGCTGCGTCAAACACTTCTGTGATTATCAACCATAGTCTAATAATATTAGCAAATTCCCCTAAATAATTGTAAAGTCTGGTTTCATTGGTGCAAGTTGATGAAGAGGGTATTCAAAAGATGGACGTATAAAATGGGTACACCAACTTTTGTGGGAAAACTTTTTATTTGACAACAAAGAATCAGAAAACGAGTTTTTTTGAGATTCAATTGGAAGTGTTGGCAGGAACGAAACAACTTTTCATATAGGATTTTTACGTATTTATGAGATCTACAGAATGCGGCAACACGTAAGCAGATCCGACTAATAGCAAAAATGTTATCGCCGAAAAACAAGGCAAAACGCAGGTTTTGGCGCTTGTTGGTAATGCGACAATAATTTCATGCAACTACTCGAAATTCTTCTAATCCGTAGGATTCATACATCTAAATAACAACAACAAAATTGGATTATATTTTAACCCAAAACATCTGTTTTCCGGCTATCACTACTAGTTTATTGAGCAATATACAGGGTTCATTCAAAAAGCATTTAATAGCGAAATGCACGTGGTTACCTTGCCGATATGGATCCTAAACCATTCCGGAAGATAACTGTTATTTTTAGGCGTTTTTTTTCTTCTAAACAAATTCAACCGTTCCGTATTTGTGAGTAATTGAAGAAATGCGCTACGATATTCGAAAAACATACGTTGCTATACAGATTTCAAAATAAAGCGGATGTGACTGTCATCTTTTGTTGCGAATTATCCACAAATACGAAAGATTTGAATTATTTTAGAAGAAAAAACGTAACCCATCTTTTTATACATAAACATAACATTTGTCTTCCGGAATGGTTTGCGATTCATATCGGCAAGGTGAACTAGTGTATTTTGCTGTAAAATGCCCTTTGAACTAACGCTGTATATACCTCAATAAACTATTAGTGATGGCCGGAAAATAGGTGTTTTGGAATAAACAATTAGAAATTCTCAAAAACTACTTGACCAATCTACTTCAATTTTGTTGTGGTTATTCAGAAGTACAAATCCTTTGAATTTGAAGAATCTCAAAAATCTGTCTGAAGTCATCGTCGCATTACCAGCTAGTACCAAAACCTGCAGTTTGCCTCAGTTTTCAGCCATAACTTTTTTGCTATTAGTCGGATCTTCTTAAGTATGGTGTCATTTTGTAGGTCTTATAAATACCTAAAAATCTTATATGGAGAGATTTTGTTCCTGCCAACATTTTTGATTAAATCCCAATAAAGACGTTTTCTCATTCTTTGTTGTCGAATAGAAAGTTTTCCCACAAAAATTGGTGTACCCGTTTTATGCGTCCATGTTTTGAATCCCTTGACAACTTGCAGAGATAAAATCAGACTTTATAACTATATCACAAACCAGTGGTTTCGTCTATGATTAGACTACCATGTCCTTTGTCAGAGAGTCACATTAAATGCAGATGTTTCTTGGGAATTGAATTTTAGAAATGTTGAAATTAGAAGATTTTGAATACTTTGAAAATTGAAAACTATGATTTTTTGAAAATTGAAGATTTCAAAAAACGTACAAAATATATGAGTAATTTGTAATTTTCGAAAATGTAAGGAGTTATTAAAATTTTTAAAGTTGCAGTGGCTTTGAAAAGCTTAGAAATTTTGACAATCGTACAAATTTCCAATATCTTGAAATTATTAAAAAATTTTAAAACTTGTGATGACATCTGCTACAACCCACTATTAATTTTCATTTAAGTTCTCTATTGAACGTTCCTCAAAGTAGTTTCAATGTTTAAAGGCCAAAGAGAGATAATTTCTCAAACTTCAGTCAATCTTTAACGAACGTCTATAAATGTGTCCCTGTGATAACCTCGGTTTTCGAGAAATGCGCCGCTGTGCTACCACAGAATGAAGGATCCGATTGGCAAGTGACCTAACCATAGCCTTCGAGCGGTATTGCTTACATCGCAACCTACCCTACCCCTTCTCCGGATGCCAACGTCGTCTGTGGCCTGGGGGAAATTCACCTGCAGATATGCCGATGCTGGGAATCACAACGGAGCTGTGGAGAGGACCGAAATCAGACCGCAGACGCGTTGATTACATTGTCGTGCCGGTCGGGGAGCTAAGAAGTCTCACAGAGTTGACCATCAAGAATTACAAGGATGGTGGCAAGCGGCAGATCTATCTTTGGTGGAAAGTGCCCATTGAAGA